AAATGAGTTCGATGAGGTCTCAACCGTTCCCAACACCAAACACCCATTCAGCGCAGATCCCTGAATCCTGCTGGCTCCTCGGGCCGCGGAATTAAAAACACCCATTTGTCAGAAAAGCAGGTTTTGGGGACAATTTCCCCTCAGTTTGGCACTAGATGGCAGCCGAAGGCCGCGGCTGGGCTGGGGCACGGGAAGATGCCGAGGGGAAGCTTTGGGATTGAGTCATCYCCAGGAAGGAAATCGGGCCCGACACCCTGGATGATCCCAGCGCCCTGAGCGAGCACAACGGGCAGATGGTTGCTGTTGAGATTAATCACGGAATTCTGCATTTCGGGACTAAACGCTCACGCTTTTTACTGAAAACTGCACAAATAAGAAGGGCCAAACCCAGGATTTATGTGCCCACCCACTGGTGAAACACGCTGGTTTCAAAATCGTTTTCTTGCATACAGGTCAGAATTGTCACGGCCTYCTTGCTCAGCCCAGCTCAATTCCATTTTTCTTTGAGGTTTTTGCCATTTTTTCCCCATCTCATAATGCTTTTCTACTTTGGTTTCCTTGAACGATTTCAATGGCAGAAGGAGGTAACAGAGCAAGAGAAATACAGGATATAAACAGGATATCAAAGGAACAAATCTACTCCCCAGCCCAGCTGAACTTCACGAGTAAGGCAGGACTCGCTCTCCTCACTGCTTCCTAAAAATATTTTCTGCCCTCTCATTGATTTTTTTTTCCTTTTATGCTTTCTAAGGATTTTTTTCCCCATTATCACCACAGCACCTCCAGCAGAGCCTTTTCCTGCATCCAGCACCTGCTGATCTCCTTCTTCCATGTAAAATCTCTCCCTTTCTCTTGTGTTTTCTATAAAAAAAAAAAAAAAAAAACCTTTTCTCACTACCCCCTCAACTTTCACAAAGAAATCTTGGTGCCTTTTCCTCACCCACCATTTCCCACCTAAACGTGTCTCCTCAGCCATTCCTCGTCCCTTCCTGCAAAAACCTTTTTCCTTGGTTCTCCTTTCAGCCATTCCCAATTCTGCCCATCACCTTCTTCATTCTTATTCCTGCAGATCACATGGTGAATTTTCAGAGATGCAGCGACCAGACCTGTGATGAAGCAACATCCATTCTTCAAGGTAGTGGTTTTGTTCAAGTTAAAGCTGCCAAAACCCCCATYTGAGCATCACTGCTGTCATTTTAAAGCCTTTCCCACTGTTACCTGCCCCTTTTCTCCTCCTTTTTTTTTGGAACGTGCTGGTGAAATCCAGCAGCAGTTTGCAGCCTGGTAAAACTGAAAATCCAGGTCTCCATGGAAGCAAAACACCATCTTTCYCCTGCACCTCCAAATAAAGCCAGGCAGCCTTTCCACCGAAAAATATCCAATAAAAATATCATAAAGCAATTAAGAGAGATTCTTTGCCTGAGGCACAGACTGTTTCTTCCAGAAGACTCAAAGCTGGGGTCAAGCTGGGCTTTGAGCTGCTCATATTTAAGCAGTTGTTTTCCTCACACTGAGCATGAGGCGAGGAAAAAGCAGCTTGTTAATGATCATTATAATTCTCTATTTTAACTCCTGGATGTGGCCTGATATTTGTCCTGGAAATGACTGGATAAAAGCAGGATAATAAAACACTTCTWAGAAGGCACCACATGGATTTTTAATAACAGGTTCTTGTATAACAACGTGGAGATTGTGTGGTTGCCTTAAGAGTTATTTCCACTTTTTCCCAAAGCAGCTATAAATCAGATTTCTGCCACTTCTTTATTGCTGCCTGGACAGGCCAGGATGGGTGATCACTCCACAATCTCCTCTGCACGTTTGGGGAATTGCTGCAAAGACTGGAAAAAGCTTTAACTGTGCAGACTCACCAGGGCTTTTGGSAGCTGAATCAGTACCAAGCCTGTGTACTTGGAATTTTCCCTGTCATTGTCAAAAAGAATTGTCTATACTCATGGTGGAGGAAATTTTTATACTCGTGATAGAAGGAAAAAAACCCAGTTATCACAGGAAATTTCTATACTCATGATAGAAGGAAAAAACCCAGTTATCAGAAGAAATTTCTATACTCATGATAGACCCAGTTTTCAATGGGCCAGCAGATGTTTTGGTTCATGTCACATAAAATGAAATAGGCATTATTCTGATTTACTTTTCCACACATCAAGATGTGTTCAATTAAAGCTTAATCCACTGAAAATGAATGAGAAACTGATATTGTTTCCCACATCCCATTTATAATGCATGGAAAGGGGAAAARTATGAAAAGAACCCTTTAGAGAATTACAGATTTTCTTATATCAGGATTTACATTCTTATTCTACATATTTTTCTCATCTACTCTCTGCCCAGGGTGCTTTTGCAATGCAATCCCCAGAGACTGATGAACAAAAATGTGAAATGACTTCAAAAACATCCCTTTAGTACCKTCCAGGTGCTGTTTTAGCAGGTCACTGTATCCACTGATACCTGCAGAGGTGTCTTATTGAAGAGAGTCACATTCAAAACTGTAAATTAAAATTCCATTTCCTCAGACTTACATCAGTGTCACCACCTGAATGACCCAGTTACCCACATAAACTTCTAGTAAATAAAAATCCAGTATTCAGAGAATAAATATCTCATTTTTCCCATTAATGCTGTCATAATTTTCAAGCAGACAATGGAATATTATTATGGYCAGTTTGGGCAGACTCACTTTGAGTCAACCAAGATTTTGAGCCTTTAAATATTTACAGAGTTTTCATTTCTTTTCATTATTCTCTTAATTTATTAAGTTGGATGCCAAGGTGGTACAAGGCTCATTGTTCATACACAAGTTGGTTTTCACATCTGGCAATTCATGACAAGATGAAGAACAGAACAGTGACATTGTGGACAAAAACTGACAGAGATGTACAAAATCAGTGTCACCCCGATGGTCCTGTGCTGAACTGGCTACAGCAAAGGCTGACTCAAAACCTTTAAAAGATCAAAATTAATATTCTTAAAAATTGCATTTTCTTCCAGCAGTCGATCTCCTTAGAGATAAAACCCAGAAATGATGGCGTCAGTGAGTGACTAAAATCAAGTACAGGCAAGGTAATAAACAGAGAACACTTGAACTGAGTCAGCGGCATGTGAGAATGGGAACACAGCAGGAAAAACAAACAAATCAAAAGTATTTCTGCTTGATGAAATGCAGACCTTCAGCTTCTCATCAGCCACCCCAAACTACTGAAGGGATTATAATCAGTACAAATACTGTGTATTACTAAAGATTCCAAACACTTCCTATATTTACCCTCTACCACCAAGCTGACACTTCACAAACTACTTTCACAAGGAAAAAGCAAACAGGTTTTTGTTTTTTTTTTTTCTGGTCACCAGTGCTAAACATTTACACAAACAGATCACACGTGAACCCAACATGTTTTAACAACAACCCCTTTTACAGCAGAGCCGTTCCCCTATTTTTTTTTGCTTTAGGTGCACAGTTTCTAAGTGATAATAAATAAATWAATTTCGTGTTACATCAGTCAACTACATACAAACAACACTGACTAAAAACTACCTCGCTAAATACCTCTCYGAAGGTAAACTACTTTGTGTATATATTAAATTTCAAGTAATGATCAGCCCGAGTTTGTTTTGTTGTTTAGGTTTTTTTTTTAAAGAAAACAATCAGACAAACCAACAACCACAAATTCCAGGAGACAAGAACACGAGGGAGATACGCTGGCCTACAAGGACTACAGGAACAGGAACACCGCTAGAAATGGGACAAATTCTCAGCACTAAGGCACAATAGAATCGGTACTAGAGTATGGCTAAAACCTTACTTTACTACAGCATCAAGTGAGGAGTTAACGAGGAGTGTTCCTACGCTCAAAAACACTCGGCTACAACATCAGTGAGTTCTGTGGTCAAGAAGCTTCTACCTTAGTGCAGCTGCACACAGCRTTGCTAAAGGAGGGGTTTTCAGAGGGCAGGGAGGGTGCTCACTTAAATCCTACTTATAATAAAGGGTTGGTTCCAACTCGCTCAAAAAAAAAAGTATTTTTCTTACTCAATTTATCCCTTTACCTTCATTCTTTGTGAAACTACCAAGATGACACAGCTCTAATGGGTGAAAAGCAGGTGTTGGATGTCGATGGTCGCTGGAGCTGACCAGAAAACCCCTGCTGGTTTTGGACAGTGGCCAGTCTAGGCCCCGAAATTTGTGACCAAGCGTAATTTGATACAAAATCTGATACAAAACCCACCWAAAACGCGAGGTTTAAGTGGGCTTTGGATCAAACACACGCTCAGCTCTGGGGTTTGTGGTTCCACCAGTCAGTTCTCCTGAACTTTAAACAGCTTCACCCCACAGGAAAAAAATATCAAGCACAGGTAGGTCTAAGACCAAGAGGTTTTAGGCTTAAAATAAGGGTGTTCTGGAGAGTCTTTTCTAACAGGCCGTCGGTAAGATCTGCCGTTTGCCCTTGAAAACAGACAATTTCTGGCACTTGTGGCCCTCTGCCATTGTCTTTTGATCCGCTGAGATGCCACGAGTTCACTAACCACGGATGGCTCCGGCTGAGAAGCCACCCTAGGAGGAAGAAGAGCTCCGATGGAAACCCACATCCTGGAAATCTGAGCAYGGCAAACCCGACGCTGCCAGAACAGTCTGGAAAACCTCTTTTTCCCTCGGCGGAAAGCGCTGGAACRACCTCCGCGGGATCCGCCCGGCGCAGCATCCCCGCTCCCGCACTACGCGCGGTGCGGACCGGCGGCGGCGGCTGATCCGCGGGCGAGCGCGGGGCTCATGAGGTTCTCGGTGATGTAGGCCACGAGCAGGCAGATGAAGACGAGCATGACGCAGATGGATCCCCCCACRGCCGTCATGGCCACGACGATGTCCCGCATGGCCGCGGGCTCCACGCGGAACTCCACGCACTGCGCGGGCGGCGCGGGGCGCGGCGGGGCGTAGCGCGGCTGCAGGCACAGGCGGTAGCGCACGCTGCCGTGCGCCTCGGCCAGCAGRTAATCGCGACATGCGGCGCCCAGCTCCACGCTGTCGCAGGGGAAGCGCGTGTAGGTGCCGTCCCAGGAGCAGTTGAGCGCGAAGCCGCGCAGGGCGGCGTTCGGGCGCGGCGGCCCCCAGTGCCGCAGCCCCCACTGCAGCAGCACGCTGCCGTTCCGCAGCACGTTGGCCACCAGCGCGCCGCCGGCGGAGCGGTGGGCGCGGCAGCCCCGAGCCGCGCACTGGAAGCCGCGGGCCGGCGGGCGGAAGCAGAGCCGCGCCCCCGCCGCCGCCGCGCCATCGCCGCCCACCTTGTAGGGGCACCACGGCTCGTCGGGGTCGCGGTCGGGGTCGCGGTCGGGGTCGGGCTCGGCGCCCCGCGCGGCCCCGAGGCACAGCAGGGCGAGCAGCGGCGGCAGCAGGCGGGGCGTGCCGGGCATGCCGGCGGCCGCCGCATGGAGCCCCCGAGAGCGGGGCGAGCGCGGGGCGAGCGCGGGCTCCGCAGCCGCCGCGGGGCCGCCAATGGAGAGGCGGTGCCGCCGTTAACTCTCGCCGGGCTGCGGAGCACCCGCCCGCTGCGGCCGCTTGTGGCCGCCCGGACGCGGCTCTCGGGGCTCCGCAACCGCGCACGGAGCGATGAGACCCCGCGGGGGCGGGAGCGGGGGGTGCTGAGACCCCGCGGGGGTGGGCACGGAGAATGCTGAGACCCCCGCAAATTCGGTATAGGAATGCTCGGACCCCGCAAGGGCCGGCAGAGGGATGCTGAGACCCCGCGGGGGCGGGCACGGCGGGTGCTGAGAACCCCGCAAGTTCGGCATAGGGATGCTCGGACCCCGCAAGGGCCGGCAAAGGGATGCTGAGACCGCACAAGAGCTGGCACGGGGATGCTGAGACCCCTCAGGTTTGGCACAGGGATGCTGAGACCCCACAGGAGCTGGCACTGGGGTGCTGAGACCCCACAAGAGCTGGCACGGGGGATGCTCAGACCCGTCAGGTTTGGCACAGGGATGCTCAGACCCCACAAGAGCTGGCACTGCGGGTGCTGAGCCTCCCCATCCCTCCCTTGGGCTCTGCTCTGCCCACCGGACCTGCATCCCCCAGGACTCGGGGGGCTGCTCCGTCCTGTCTTGATCGAGTTGAGGATTTCATTCCACACCAAAAAATCCGTGCCTTTGTTGTTTTAAATTTGTGGGTTTGATGAGGTTTCACATAGCATCCTGTTTTAATTTTTATGGCAGAACGTAAACATTTGTCGATATTTAAGCTGTAAAATACAGTAATTCTCACGTTTCGCGGTTGAAATCCCCAGAAATGTGCCTGGGCATGGCCGGGAGGTGCCTCTGTCCCCGGGGGCTGACACCAGCAGGGATCGGTCCATGGCAGGGCTGGGGAAGGTGACAGAGCTCCCCTTCGGYTGATGAAAACCTCGTTCAAAGAATTGGACCTTACTCTCATTTTTTTTATTTTATTTTATATTTTATTTTATTCCTTAAACGGTGATAACTTCAGCCTCCAAGGTTGCTTTAACTTCTTGGCTCTGGGAATTCAGATCAATTCGAGGATGGAATCCGGGGAGAAAGAAAGACGTGAGACGCTCCCGCGGGGGTCAGCTGAGAGCAGGGATAACTCTGGGTCTTAGTGCTCACCGTGAGAAGGAAGAAGGACATTCCTCTTCCTGCTGCATCCCCAAAATGCCATTTCCTCCCTCTGCAGCAGGGCCAGCCCTCCATCCACCCTTGGATCTGCTGATTTTGCAGCACAGGAGGAGCCAGCAGTGCTCCATCCATCCATCCATCCATCCCAGCATTTTGCCGTGATTAATGTTCCCTGAACGACCTTGAGAGATGTGCTCGGGAGTATTGACTTGTCTACATGTGGGAAGAAAAGAGTTCTGATGAAACAATAATAAAAACACAGATTTCAATAGGGTTTGAAGATTCTTCGAGCTGTTACATTGGTAAAAGTTGCTTTAWGTCCTTTCTTTTCTGAGAARMARAAAAWRAMRTKWCMTTTTTATGTTTTTATYAGGTTYCACWTAGAGTTGTGTTCCAGATTTTAKAGCAAAACATAAGTATTTGTCTATATTTAACACGTAAAATAGAATAATTAACAAATTACTTCATTAAAACCCTCAGGAATGTGTTTAAACAGATTGCTGTAGTTCTTCACTGTTTGGAAACACAAGCTTTGCAGATTTCTTTGCACGGTTTCTTTAAAATCAAAATTGGAATTGTCTTATGCAAGTGGAAAATACAACAAAAATAAGACCCCAAACCCAAATCATAACTGGAAGGTGATGCTTGCACAAATTATAAAGTGTCATTTGCAGCAAAGTGGAATTTGTTGAAACAGTTTTTTGTTTTCTGATGCATTGAACATGGATGATGTGATATCAGGGCACCCTTTCCTGTATCCTCTCTCAAGTGTGTGGTTCTTAAGGAAATCTTGAATTCAACAATATCAAGTATTATAAGTCATTTCCACACCTAATTTTTAACCAGATTTAATAGGGGTGTCTGCTAAGCCTATGGAAAGTTGCCAGAAAATCTGTTTTGATACCAAGAGCTGTCAATGGGAATTGATGAAAAAATAGGATCAGCATAGAAAAGGATGCTGAAATTGTCATTATGGCTTGGAAAATACTCGGTTGTAGGAGCAGGAAGAGGTGCTGTGCTGCTGAAGGCACTTCTTGGCAAATTCACGTGTGGAATTCCAGCCTGAATGCAAAACTGGAGATCTGAGGGCCCTTCCCAAGAAATGTGAGCCTGTTCAGGAAATGGCTGGAGCCAAACCAAGTGAGTTTTTCCTCCTTGAAACTTTGTGTCGTTCTAACAGTGATGAAGAGCAGTTTGTACTCCAGAGCTGTCATCGTTCCYATGGCCAGGGGAGAGATCTGGCACCAGCCTCTGGTTGATTAATTCTGAGTCTGGTGGGAGATCCAGGGGTCTGGAAAATGGCTGGCGCAGCAGTGAAGGCTCTGAACCCATCAAAAAAATTTATAACAACGCTCCAGGTTAATGACACCATCTCCTGTCCYGTGTCCTTGGCCTTGCACTGTGTCCCTGAGCAAAAAATCTGATTTTTTATCCAAGCCCACACAGTTTGGCTCAGCCTGTGCTGGCTCCGTGTGAATCTTTTGTCTCATTGTTTGCTCTCTCAGCAACCCATCTGTTTCCTGAGACCTTGATCTGCGATAAAGCTCAGCCCAGACTGTCCGTGGCATCACTTCAACCTCCTCCTGTTCAGGCCAAACTCTGCCAAACCCTGTGATCTGCTTTGAGTTGTGAACCCCCAGCAGCATCTCAAACCCAGATCGCTCTGGGGGCCTCCACACAAACCCAGCTCCACGAGGTTTGGGGTCTCCACTTAGACCCAGCTCCACAAGGTTTGAGCCTCCAGACAGACCCAGCTCCACGAAGTTTGAGCCTCCACACAGACCCAGCTCCACGAGGTTTGGGGTCTCCACTTAGACCCAGCTCCACGGGATTTAAGCCTCCACACCGACCCAGCTCCATGAGGTTTGGGGTCTCCACTTAGACCCAGCTCCACAAGATTTGGGCTTCCAGACACACCCAGCTCCATGGGGTTTGAGCCTCCAGACAGACCCAGCTCCATGGGGTTTGAACCTCCACACAGACCCAGTTCCATGTGGTTTGGGCTTCCAAAATGACGCAACTCCACAGGATTTGGGCTTCCACACAGACCCAGCTCCATGGGGTTTGAGTTTTTCTGGCTCTCTCCCCTGGGTTTCTTGTCTCCCGGGCGCTGAACTCGTACTCAAACAAGAGCAGCTCACTTTGGACCAGGCAGCGAAGCTCTGCCAACCTCCAGCTCCTGATTTACGCAAAGCTCTGCTAATTTCAGTCTCAGATACGGCCGGGGCAGACGATCCCCAGGGCAGKGATGTTTCCTCTCAGTGAAGGGCAGCACACGACATATGGTTCCTAAAGAATCCTCYGAGCAGAGCTTTCGTTCAGGCCTCAGTTGCTGCAGTTCCCTCCGAGTCATAACTTTGAGGATTACTCATCGCAGACGTGAAACGCACAGAATCTGCCTCCTCATTTAGATGATCCTGCAGCCCGAAGCAGGGTGTTTTTTTCCAGTTTTTGATTCACTTCCAGCGAGATCTGACTGTTCCAACATTTCCAGGTTAAGGRAGAGTCGTGTCAAACCCATCCGGGGCAAGCTGGGCACAGAGCTTTGCCTTCCCTAATTCTTTTCCTACAAAAATTCCTATAAATTTCCCCAGCAACCCCCTTAAATAATTCCTGAGAGACCTGACCCTCATTCCAAAGATGATACATCCTCTTATTCCTAAATTTCTTCAAAACCCCATTGCCCATCCAGGCTGGACTCATCTTTGGGCACACAGGGACAATCTGCTGTGTCCTCCAGATCTCCATTTTTTTAAAGCACGTCCACCTCTTCAGGACTCCTTTGTTTTTAAGAGCTGCTTCCCAAGGAACTATCAGAATAATTCTCCTAAATAAGCCAAAATCTTCACTCTGGAAGAGTCTTATTGATGCTCCTCCTCATTTCACCGAATATTGAGAACTCTATATTTTCATGATTGGAAATTACAAGTTACAATTACCACCACATCTCCCACCAGCCCATCTCTATTTACAAACAGCAGATCCGACGTGGCGAGCGACGACAAAAATTTGTCCTCTGCACACTCCAAGAATTTCCTGAGCTGCCTCTTCTCTGCTGTATCGAGTTCCCAGCGAGGTCAAAATCACATCCAAGAGCAAGGGCTGGAAACTTTTCCCTTCTCTGTGTGACCTGGGATCCTGCTCTGACCTGGGAAACGACGGCGTCTCACCGGGATTTTGCTCAGGATGCTCCAAACCCGTAAGCACAGCTGCTCTGCTGTCAATGTGCTATAAATACAGGAGCAGCCTGAACCATATCAGGGCTTTTTGTGCATCTGAAACTTTGCTGGAGTTTTGTGGTGAGCACCTCTGGTGTTTGGCTGGAAGATAATTTCCAAAATTTTGGCATCTTCGCTTATTCTGCTCTGCTCCACCCCGGAGTTGGACTGATTGTGCTGGTGAGAAACGCAGGCAGAACGAAAACAAAGAACCAAAAAGTCCTATGAAATGTAAATTTCAAGCTCCATTACAGCCAGCGGAAGGAAAAATAATGAATGCTGTCAGAATGAAAAAGGCTGAGCTCGCCGGGAAATAAATATTGTTTTCCCCAGCATCTAAAAGTGCTTGCAAAATATGCCACAAACAAGGGATTAAAAAGAGCTCAACTGATTCAAATAGAGAACAMAGATCCTCTGTAAAAAACTGATTTTTAACAGGTGATGATGCTCAGCCACAAAGCTGTGGGTGATGAGTGAGGTCCCAAAATTTGGGATTTCCAATGTGGTGATGAGGATGCAGAGACAGCTCAGGCACAGGGGTCTACCCTGTTCTTACCACTTAAAACGTGTCCTGGGCTTTGAGGAATCGTGATTAAGCCCATTCTTCCCTTTTAAATTCCTGCTGGCTGTTCCTTCTTTCTCCCTGAGGTCAGATAAGATGTCTTTCAGAGGCCAAGTGAAGCACCACGTGTTTCCATCTAATTCATGACGCAAAAAAACACCCAACTCACCCATTAAAAAAGGAGCAAAATTCACCTTAGTCAAAAGTTGGCATGGAAATAATCTGATCAGGTTGGAATTGCATCAGTTGGGTTGAAAATAATCTTCCTTTCCCATTTCTTTCCCTTTTTTCCCCCATTTTTTCCCATTTATTTTCCATTTTCTTTGCATTTCTCTGAGCCTCTACAGGGTCTCTGCGCCATGAAATGGGTGCAGAAATTCGCATCCACTCACCCACACAAGGCTGGTTGAGACTCCTGCACTGCTCCAGACAAAGAACAGGAAATTTCCTCTGATTCCCTCCCCACCCCACTCAGAGCGGAGAAAATGATGTGTTAAAGAAACACTACGGAGCAAAATGATTTCTGAAGGAAGATTCCTTTGTATTAGTGATCGCTCGAGTGAGTCCAGGCACCGGCTTGGGCTGCCCCAGGAGGTAAAAAACACCCCCCAAAACCAACCAAAAACCCCTCTCCAGCTTCGAAAAGTGAAAACCAAGAGGGTGGAGAACACRGTAAATCAAAAAGTGCTTCTAAGAAAAGCAGGATAAGATCATTCCTGCTCTGAGAGCGCTCCCAACGGCCCCGGGAGACAAAATTCTCATCCGCAAACCTCCTGCAAGGGCCTGCGGAGAATTCCCCGCTCCTGCCTTGGTTCTGGGCAGTGTTGGAGGCAGGAGGCAGTTGCCAGGAGGAGCTGCCATCCCCTCGTTCCTGGAGGATCCTGTTTTTCTTCTCAGCAGTTCTCAGAAGTAGTCGTCCTTCTTGCCTGCGCGCATTCCCGCGTGCTCCCTGCGCTCTCCCGCGAGCTCCAGGTCATCGGTGTCATCCACTTCACCTCCGTGATCCTCCTGGGGCAGAGGGAAGAGCCAGAGAGGAAAAATCAGTGGGATTTGGAAAAGGAGACCCTCACTTAGTGCACCACTCCTCTCCCCCAGTATATATATACATATATTATATATTCTATTCTATTCTATTCTATTCTATTCTATTCTATTCTATTCTATTCTATTCTATTCTATTCTATTCTATTCTATTCTATTTAATATATATAATATAAAGGCACTCGGAACACCTGGAAAAGGGACCCAGATTTGCTCTGGAGACCTCACTGAGCACATTTGGAGTCCGAGCTCAAWTCTGGCTCCCCAAAAGAAAAGGAAAGGAAACACCTGGAAAAGGGAGCCAGGTTTACTCTGGGGATCTCACTGAGCACATTTGGAGTCCAAGCTCAATTCTGGCTCCCCAAAAGTGAGTCCCCCTCCTGTTCCTGGCCACCAACACACCCAGGTGAGCCACACCAGAGAGGGAAAGAAGGAAGAACCTTGGTGTCGTACAATTTCTTGCTCCTGATCGTCCTGGTAGTCATCCAGAGGGTCTTCCCTGGGCTTGGCGACTCTGCCAGCATCCTGCAAAACACAGCCAGACATATTTTATTATATTAATTATATACTATATCATATAATATATCATATCATATCAATTACATTAATTATTATATTATATTATGCCTTTATATATATTACTATTATTATATATTTGCATTATTGTTTATATTGTTATTTCTACTATCATTATCTATTATTATTATTTATATTACTATTTCTCTTTCATTAATCACGTTTCTAGAGGCTGACAGATAAAACACTCCTTTTTTCCAAACAAGCCACGCTCAGCTGCTTGTCAAAACCAATGAACATTTCCATGGGGCCGCAGGCAGTAAGAAACGCTCGGTGGAATAAACAGATTCCATCTGCAAGGAGGAGGCAGCGAGAAGGCAGAGCTCTCCCAGGGTGTCTGCACTGCCAGGAGCCTCAGAACCTGAGCACAGACTCAGATTTGGGTCTGGGTTTGGTCCCAAGGGCAGGAAAAGTCCCAGATTCTCTGCAGGAACAGCTGGGAGTGGGTCATGCCCTATTCCACATTTCTGTTTATCCACAGAGGTTCTGGGAATGATCCATTTCCTATTCCATGTTTCTCTTTATCGATGGAGATTCTGGGAATAAGCCATCCCCTACTCCACATTTCTCTCCATCCATCCCCTACTCCACATTTCTCTCCATCCAACCCCTACTCCACATTTCTCTCCATCCATCCCCTACTCCACATTTCTCTCCATCCATCCCCTACTCCACAATTCTCTCCATCCATCCCCTACTCCACAATTCTCTCCAGCCCTGAAGGTGCTGCAAATACCAGGAGAGACTTCCACAAGCAGAGAGGATGAGGTTTTGACCAGAAACCGCCAAAGAACTTTCTCCCACCACATCCTCGCAGTGGGATCAYGGATCCCTCCAGGAATCCCTGCTTCCCTTTGAGCCCCTAAACTCTGTGCCCACCCCATCCCCATCTGGGGATTTCTCCCTGGCTGTCCCCATGTCTGTCACCTTTGGTGGCATCTCCTTGGACTCTTCTTTAACTCTGGGCTCCTTGAGCTTCTCTGAGGCTGCTGCCTTCTCCTCAAAGTCGGGTCTTTCCAGCTCAGCCTCCTCAAACTCATCCTCCCCCTGGTTATTGGGGTCCTGGGCGGGGTCTGCAGCATCATCTGGCATCTGGAGAAGGGAAAGCTCCTGTGAGTCCCTGGCAGGATATTCCCTCAGGATGCAAAAATATAATTTCCCCAGGAAACAGTGGTGCTGGCTTTGGAGCATTTGGCTGCACCTCCCCAAGCCTGTTAGTGTCTACTAAAAAAAACCCCAAACCGGTCTTTGTGATCCCTCTGAATCCCTCCAGATCTGAGGAGTYTGGATTTGCAGATTATAGAAAAATCTGGGTAATTATTGACTGTTGGGTGTTGCCAGAATGATTCCCCTGGGATAGGGGAAGGGGTCCCTTATGGGGCAGGGGTAGCATGAGGTGATTTTTAAGGTCCCTTCGCAGGGATTGAGGGGTTTTATGGTGCTGGGGTTACTCACCATGGGCTCCTGGACAGCGGCTGCCTTGTGAGAGTGCGGGATCTCCTCCCTCGCGATCACTCCAGCGTCTGCAGGGACATGACAGGGACAGGGATGGGGACAGGGATAGGGATAGAGGATGGGAACAGGAATAGGGACAGGGGATGGGGACAGGAGCAGGGAAAGGGATGGGGACAGGGGATAGGGGATAGGGACAGGGAAAGGGGACAGGGGATCGGGGAGAGGGATGGGGACAGGGACAGAGATGGGGATAGGGAAAGGGACAGGGGAGAAAGATGGGGACAGGGACAGGGAAAAGGAAAGGGACAGGGAAAGGGACAGGGGAGAATGGGGGGACAGGGGACAGGAACAGGAACAGGGGATGGGGATGGGAACAGGGATAGAGACAGGGGATGGGATCAGGGACAGGGGATGGGACAGGGACAGGGCAGGAACAGGGATAGAGGATGGGAACAGGAATAGGGACAGGGGACAGGGACAGGGATGGGA